GGACAGATCGTGAGGATCCTGGAATTTTGCGACCTGAGAAACATTTGCAGGGACATTTGCCAGAAACAGTTTTTCCAGAAACATTTTCCGCGTGGGAGATCACTCGTACGATAGGAGGACCTCCCATACGAATTGATTAATGATACAAGACCCTTTAGAGATACAAAGATTCTGGAATTTTTTTGTAACGAGAAAAGCGGTGACGAGAACGTGCCGTTTCGTAGAAATGCGTATTACGCGAATTGTGAGGGGAATGCTCGAGATAAAGCGCATTCTCGAAATGCCACTGCAGTTCAAACTGAATATAAAGCAAGTTGCAACCTGAATTAAGTCGAAAAACGACGATCGAGCTTAACGTCAGATTTGTACCGTCAATTTGTTTTACGACACTGTGCGATGTTTATGCATTTTATCACTCTCTTGCTTAAAAATTGAGAGATATAACTAAACTTAGATGTAATTCTATCAACCATCAAAAGTGTAAAGTAACATAATTTCATAAAAATTGTCACAACGTCACAATTCAAAAAGGATGGTTTAAAAATCCATTAAAGTCCTTATAAAGAGTGGTTTTTTAAAGATTGTAAAATGAAAATGATAAAAATAACGTTTGATTAATCAGCAATTTTCTGTCAAGTTGACAAATAGTTTGTTTCTTAGAAGCTTAATTTTTTTGTATTATGTCATTTTTTAAGTAAGGGAATGATGCGTAAAAGTTACATAAAAAAGTTATTACAAATATATGTTTCCAATGTTATGTTAACTCGCGCCATGACACACTGTGTGTCTCTAGATTTTTATGTTCTACAAGTAAAAGACTAAGAGTAGAAAAATTAAAAGTAACATTATAGTTACATAGACTTAATATTGCTCAATTGTAGAACAATATAATATTGTAAGTTATTTCAAAAGGATTATACATGCGGATCGATTAACAATAATAGACAGACAATTTCCAATAATACATTTCTCAAATATGAAATTTGCAATGGCCGCATTCAGAAAAATATTTATTTTGCAACTGTTGGAAATTTTCTTCGCTGTGATAGGATTATTCTAGACTAGTCTCTCTAAACGTATAAATCAAATATAAATGAAATGGTTACACGAGTCTAATAATATTTATAGCCAAGTACAAACTTCGGTTTGTACTTCCGCACTCAAATTCCAAATCGAAATGTTTACACTTTGCCGTTAACTTCATTAGTAAGTACATTCCAATTGTTTATCAATTATATTTTATAAACATATTATTTGCATCCATCAACCGTATAGAAGACTTGAATCATAATGTAAAAAAGAAGATAAATATAGGCATTTTATTTACATTTGATTTATTCTTGAAATCACAAAATCGTCTTCATTTTTATTAAAAGTGTAATCCAATCAATGCGAAGAAAACTTCCACAACAGTTGCAAACGTTCTACTAAACCTATTATTATTATTATTATTATTATTTTAAATGTCTTCATACAGAGAGAATTAGATATCACAAATTTATAACGATATATAATATATGATATAAATACTTCCTCGTCAGAAAATATGTGTATTATAAATATTCGATCGCCTCAAGAGCCAACATCCTTGTCAATCAATGTCACAGGACATTTTTAACGGGCGCAATTACGATTGCAAAAAAATCTAAGCACTGTCGTAAAATGCGGAGCTCAAGGTATCGGCTAACATTAGACTGTCAGTGTTTCCTTCAATTGCGGGACAACCTCAGTGAATTGTAGCGTAGCACGCAAACGCGCACGCGGCGTTCAAAAAGGTAAAATAATATATCCAGCTGCTTGTATCTTAGCGCTAAATCTTTCTGAAATATTTACAAAGTATTCCTAAAATCTCAAAATAACATTTCAGGAATATTCCGGAATGTCTCGAAATATTTACAGACTGTAAGAACAATATTGAAGTAATTGTTAAATATTCGACTTGTAGGATAATGTTTTCCATATATTCCGCAAAATCATTATTTTTTCCAGAAATTCCAGGCCCAGAGATCCCTGAATTAATGTTTAAACATAATAACAAAAACACATTTCATCAATTTTTATCTTCAAGTCCACTTCAGGCGAAATGCTACGCTGTTTATATTTCCTCTATAATATGATTTTTATTTACATTAATGTATCCCTATCGTGGCCCTCTGTAGTGGGTGAAATTTTTATGATACAAATATTCATATAATATTCTAAACATTTTATTAATATTGAAATATTTTATGAAAATTTTTTTGCTGTTCCGAATATACACATTGGAAATAGAAATAAAACTTTTCGTAAATGATTACACCGAGAAAAAATTGTTAACTTGACCAAATGCGTTTAGTTCGTAATAATTATATAGTTCAAGTATTTATGTATATTCAAGTTAAAAATATATAGTACGTAAGTCATATCAACATGTTATTTATTTGAATTAACAAATATTTACTTGACAGCCTGTTACCGCTGCATTTAGTTGAATCAACTAATCTTTTTTCAAACAGCAAGTTTTTTCTCAGTATGAGATAAGAGAGCACATATCCTCTTACATAAATGCACATACGTAAAGCATAAGAAAATCAACTAACCGAAGTCTTCTATTTTATGAAAAAGAAGGAAACGAAGAACATTGATTGGTTCTTTTTATGCATTACGCAAGACTCTAGTATTTCCCTTTCTACAGTAAATCATTACCCAAGTCTTTAAGTCTAAAGCTATAAGAAACCGACCAATGATAATCGATTGTTCTTCTTACATTCGACTGTGATTGGTCGAATTTCTTACGACTTTAAGATTTAAAACTCAAAGTATAACAGCTTATATTGTAAGAAAGCCGATTAACGTTAGCTGGATATGTTTGCAGACGAGAGATTAACGGTTACGAGAGATGAGATAACGAGCACCGATCGCGACAATCGCCGTAGAACCGTCGCAAATCGGATCTCGTTCGCACGGCCGACTTACAAGGATTCGTCAATACGCCCCGCTTCAGGAGACCCGTCGAGAAAGATCGTCGTGGTAATTTGTTACTTTGCGAGATGATAGGCATTTGATAGATCACCGAGGCGCCGGCCGCGCGAAATCAGCCCGGAACGAAAGGACGATCCACCGGCGTTTCCGACGGCGCGGCGGCAGCCGGTCGGCCGCCGCGACGTGTCTCGGAACACGAGAACCCCTAGATCTCTCTCTCTCTCTCTCTCTCTCTCTCTTCGTCTCTACCTGACTCTACGAGTAGGTAGATAAATCCGCCGCCTACTACTGCCTCGCCAGCGTGGCTGAGCGTGGCGGACAATGCGCTCAGGACGGCGCATCATCGTCCGTATTGTTTGCTCGGCCAACGGGCGCAGTGCGCACCGCCCGGCTTTTCACGCAGGTGCTGGAAGCGCGGAGGAGAGCGCGGAGAACCGAGGACGTGTCTACGCGCTTTAGCCATCGCGTTTACCGGTAACGTGGGGACGGCGCGCGCAGCGGCATGCGGGATATTTCCCGGAAATTAAGTCGCTCGTTCCACGGTTTCAGGACGCCGCCTCTCGTCGCGCGTCGTGCTTGTCGCGCGCGAATTCCACGAAAGCGATCGGGATCGGCGGTAGTTGCGTTTTAACGACGTGGGAATCGCGCGCGTCGCAGGTTTCGGTTTGCGATGATTTCGCCTCGCGGAGACATCTGAGGGGAAAAAAAAGAGACAGAGAGAGAGAA